TGCCGGCTGGGCTTAAACCACGACAGTTAGGCAATGGGTAAGGTGCTTAACAGCTCTCTGATGCAATTCTTCTCTGAAATTGGAGATTATTAATAGTTTTTCTGCCATTTTTCCTCTTATTTTCCATTCAGATGCTATATCCTTTGGCTAAATGAACAACTTTCATTGTGGTATGTGCAATACAGCACAAAGGAGCTTTAACTGCCCTCAATTTGCCATATTGCCATACTGCCAATTGCATTAAGATACTTAACAGAAAAAAATTTAGACAATTTTTTAAATAAGAGCTATTAGGATCAGTACAAAATACTGTTTACAAAGGGGAAGATGTACAGTAAATATTTTTTCCCTTATTCTTTTTCTTCTGTCAGGAACACGTCAAACCCAAGAGGCTCAGTAACTAGACATTAGTAAAATTCCTCTATCACACATTAGAATTTAGACATGCTTTTAATATGAGAGAACATTTCCTGGTCATTCTGAAACAATAATCATGAGCTTTATTATATGAATGAACATTTACTACATGAATGAATGGGATGACGAACATTAAGACGACAAGAATTTAAATCATTCTGAGGATGCAGATATAGACAAGCATTACTTCAGTAGGTAAGAATTATAAATGTTTATAATTACTTACCCATTTGCAATTCAGAGATGGTTTCCACCAATGACCAGTCTAAACTGTAACCACAATGCGATTTGTCCATCAGATTGTCTAATACTTGTCTGACTGTCTGCCTCTCATCCACCATCATTGTTTTTGAGCTGTCGTCAGACATATGGACTCTGATCACCAACTGTTAAGCAGAAAATTAGGAAACAAAAAAGGAGGATTAAATTCCCACTTTTCAAATAAAAACTGTATCTTTCAAGATCTTGTTTCTTTTTCTAACATTTTGTTAAAATAGCATAAAACATTAAGTTCAGTTAAAACACTCGCTCAAAATGTAAAAAGCCATAAATGACAGTTAGATATTTGTATCACGGACACTTAACAAGATACTGCTGTTCTTCAGTATAAAAGAGTAAATATAAAGCTCTTCCCAATATAATGATATCATGCTTTAGCTGTCTGTTAAGCAGGAAAAAATTCCCTCCTGCCAAAGTATTTTGTTCTGATTAATAAAGTGTCTCTGTGACAATTTTTCTCACATACCTAGGTGGAACAAACACAGATAGAGATTATTATATAAATAAAGAATTTATATAAAATCAGATTTTTTTCTATTTGCAATTCAAGCTTTCTGCCTGCTTCCTCTGTGTTTTCTAAAAATGCTAATTATGTAAGTGAACAATATATCTACACTAAATTTTCTTTTTCTGGGGTGTATGAAGCATTAGCATGAAGAAATCTGCTTTTAAAACACAATGGCTTTTCTCAGGCACTTTAAAGAGTTCACTGTCAAAAAAAACCCCAAAACAACCTAATCAAAAACCCAAAACAAAAAAAACAAAAAACCAATCAAAAACCTTAAGACAATAGATTCTTCTTGCTAATCATTATGCTTCCTTTTTTATATCTTGTTCAGCTCTAAAAGTTAAACATACTAGTTGGCTTGTTAATTCCCAGCTTCCAGCAAGAACAGGTTTTCAGCTTTTGATATGCAAACACTAAATGTAAAATACATTTTAAGCTACCGAAAAACTCCAAACATAAAATAAGAATGCTAAATTTCAAGGGAACACTAGATACTTTGAGAGTGCATCATGCATAGACTGTCTCCATTTGGTAACACCCGTCTATAGTCTGGAATGCTTGTATTCCATTTTACTCTGGAAAATAGTGCTATGCATATTGGGAAGAAAGGGGTCTGTAAAGCAAACAGACCCAAATTTTAAATGTGCAACTGCTTAATATACAAAGGCAATCTCAGGAGGCTGGACCTTCATTTCAGCTCTGGGTGGAGGCTGGAAAAGTTTTCTCAGTGTGCACTAGCTGCAGAATAAGCCATTCTTGAAGAAAAACATGCTATTCCATATGCTAGGATTTTCTCGATTAGGTCCAATCTAGATGAGAAACTACATCCTCACACAATATCAGAACAATACAGTGTTCCTATTTTATTTAGGGCAACTTAAGCGTAATAGACGCAAATGAGAAGAATTTTGCCTGCATTTTCCAGGTAGATGAGTATAAAATAAAGATCTTATAAACTAGTATACATAACTTACCTTTTTCACTTGTGCCTCTTTAATCTTCTCTAATGCAACCCTAATCTTCTCAGCTTTGAGTTTAGCAGCCTGCTCCTCCTAGGGGACAAAACACACAGAATTCCAGTGAACGCAAACTTAAGTTCAGTTTTGGAGGATTTCATTTTGAGGTTACCATGCCTTAAAACATGAACTGAAATGCTGATCTACCCACCCATAAATCCTCAACTATTTCTTAGTAATAACAAAGACTGGTATTTTTTAAGACAAAAACTGTTACTATACATAGCTAACATTTAGAAATACAACTGCCATTACCTCCAAATGGAGGTAATATATTTTGTATAGACACATCTGCCATTTCTCTGCTTTTCCATATTGTAAGTAGCCTTGTGCACTGCTACCAAATATTTTAGCAAAATTTGGACAACATGTATTCAACAAGAGTGTACATTTGCGTACACCCAATATATATTTAATCAACATAAAACATAAATAGCACATGGAGAAGTATCAGAATTTAACAGCACACAAAATATGGAAAAGAAATCCTACAAATAGGAGTCCACACTATGTACATTGGTTTGGAATATTTTAAAGTATTAAATCTGTTTGAAGTAAGTAAGTAAGTGGCTTGAACACTCCCTTTATCTTTACAAAATCCAGTTTGTGTTTTTCCTTGCTTTTATTTTAAGAACACGTAAAGCAAATGATCATTCTTTTATTCGATGCTCTTCTAAGGAATTTATTTTTGTTACAATTGGAAATCATTGAAAATTCAGATAATTTAAATCTATCCTATCTCCTGATGCTAAAGAAATCATAGACTTTAAGACCAGCAATACTGGGTTTTAATTTCTGGATCTTACTGATATTTTGAAAATAGACTTGAAATGTGCAGCTAAACGGGGAACCACTCTTTTTGAGATTTCACATGCATGTGGCTGTTCATTGTGGCTAATATGCTGAAGCATCATAGTTATTTAAGAATATCTAGAACAAGAAACATATTAAATAAATACACAAAGAAGTCCCCTCCAAAATATTCAATTTCCTTAGAAAAGAAACATTAAGATTTTTCTCAGATCAAAAGTAGCACAGCCCATCACAACACTCAGCATGCCATGGACATTTAGTTCCACATTCATTTCTTGTATGCATGTGATTCATGGTTTCTTTACCATGTGTTTAGATGGTTGCTTTTCTTGTTGAAGTCAAGACTCAGCTATTCTGAAATCCACAGAGTTTAAGTTTTCCACTTCTCAGTGAGTTACTAATACTCCTACCAACTGCTAAAGGGCATTTTCTATGCTACTTACTGTACTCTTACTTAACAGCTTGTGCTCCCTCACAGCTGTGACCATGTCTTGTTAGAAACAGAATTCTTTTCAATAAAACAAACCAGAAATAATGTGAGCTTGAAACATTCTCTGGGAACTCATCTACCTAGAAATACAGGTTTTCATGAGCCTACAGAGAACTATGGCTTTTTATTCACTGTAACAATGGTGTCATATAGCCTAGAAAGGTTAAATGAATTCTATTAAAAACAAAGAGTGCCAAGCTACCTAGAATCACTTCAATCTAAATCACATCTAGAATGCTAAAATATTCTTCCTCTTCCTTAACATTAACCATTTCCATCTATAGAAATAAAAGATTACTAAACCCCAAGGCTTTAAATACTTGTAAGTTTCTAGAAGTGATGCTATGCACCTGTGCACTATGAAATCAGCAACAGCAAAAGACTTTATTTTGTCATACATTTGGAGAACCTTAATTTATGGTTTAAAAAAAGCTGCTCGTTAACCCAACCATAAACCTTTATTGCTGTACAAAGGTTGATGGCACATTTGGCTTTGCTCTTCACTTAAGTAGCACAATTTTCCACACCATTTGACTGTACACCTGTGCAATACAACTATCTGCAGCAAACCCCAGCAGGAGCACTTTACAGCCACAGCACGCTGGCAGCAACAAGAGCAAACAACAGGGAATCAGCTGGGGGCCTCTCATGTATCTGCACCAACACAGCCAAAATATCTTTGTTGATGTTGAAGTTTATAGTTCATTATTCCCTAAATTTTTTTAAAATAAATACATATTTAGATAAAGAAGTGATTTCAAGGATTTACTGTTTTAATGCCTACCAATTACTTTTCATTGCCCACTTTATTTTAATGTGGGTCTAGAGACCAGGATTTCTTATACTTTACTAGAGTATAACAAAGTTGGTTTAAATTTAAACAAAATCCCAAGATTATGATTATAAAAATAAAAACTGGTTTCAACCAGAAATAAATTATAAAAAGAGGCCTGAATTTGCTTATTGCAAATGCAGAGAAAAAGGAAGCAAGAATTATAAATTTTTGAAAGCACACAGTAGTTAAGAATTTTAGGTTATTCAAGTTTTGCCTTATAGTTTGTGCTCAGGCCACTGTTGCATCAGTGCTGATGGGACAATGTTTCACTGGAGCAGAAGGAGGAACTATCTATTTTGATTACTTAAGTAATTTTCTAACTTCAGAATTCTTCAAAACTCACAGAAATTTATTCAATTTCTCTCCTAATGGCCAAAAAAAACCCAGCCATCCACATCCCCACCTCCATCAAAGCCATCCTGAAACTGCTCTGAGACACAAACACTGGCTCTTAAGTCCCGCTATGTGGAACCAAAACGACTTAATGAGAGGAAGCACGTGCAATACATCAGCTTGTACTAAGTTAACATTTTTCACTGCACACAGAGAAATGTGCAAAAATACTGCAACTGTAAACTATGCAATGCCATAAGCCAACAACGCCAGGACATACAGTCCAATCACATCTAACTTAGGTATTTATTACCCCTTTGCTAGCAAGTCCTTCTAGTAACAGTAACACAAGTTAGGTTAAAAAACGTGCATGTAAACGGCAGGATTCCTGCCTAGGTCATGGTTTCACAAGTAACATATACCAACATAAATCTCTGATATGGCTGATACACGTGCCTCCCTTGTTCAGCATGACTTCTCAGCTATAGCAGTCATAGTGCTGCTGCGGCCAGACAGTTCAGTAAGGGAGCTGATCTGGTTGAAAAATAACAAAGCAGAAAGATTCAGCAGATTCCACTCCTTGATAAGACTGCCATTATGGTCACATATGTGCTATGGAAAGCTTAAAGGAGATACATACATACACCCACTGAGCAAAAACACAAAGGAGTGGCATTTCTGCTTCTGACAGGAGAAGGATATTCTCTTTTAGTAGCAACACATGTCACTGTAAAATTGCAGCATAAATTCCTTACTTCAATGGGACTACTTCAGGAGCACTGTTACACTTACATTTTAAAGCCTTGAGCTCAGATTATTTTTGGTTATGGAAACCAGAACACCTGATTTAAACAATGCCTGGCAATATACTCGTGTTAAAAACTTGTTCATCCAAAATATCCTAACATACTGTGAACTAAAATGTAAAAAGTACAGCTCTGCATTGCAGTAGTCATGTTAATGACTTTATCTTTGGTTGTTTTTTTTTTTTTATACCAGAACTCAGCTTTCAACAACTTTGGACTACACTGGAATATTGTCAAGAATAATGCCCAAAAAATCTAAAGTTAAGATTTCCTTAATTGCAGTCTGCTGCTCGTTTCTGGTTAAATGTGCAGTTACAAGATACTCCAACTGTGCTTTAACATTAAATATGCAAGATGCATGCTATGACAGAGCTGACCTTGCTCGAACGGCTTTATGCTCCACAATTCTAGGTTGAGGTTCTATTTTCCATTTCATTGTACTTTTTCAAAGTGTCATTAGTTGATCCCTTTTACAGAGATCACAAGCAGAATGGGAAAAAGGGGGGGAAAAAAGCCTCTTAAGAAAGGTTACAGCCTTTAGGAAAGCTAGTAATTAAATAAGTGGTAAGCTCCAAACTCCACGTTTCACTTAAATTAGCAGGTTAACGCAGATCACAAGATGCATAGAAGAATTTTCTTTTATGTCTAATGCTTGAAAATTTTCTCTGAAGTTTTTCTTGGAACGGAGATAAGAAGATAACAAAATACGTAAGTAGCATTGACTTCTGAAGGACTAGAAGCAGCTATCCACTTTTTATTTTCCCAGCTACAGTCTAGCCTCCATAGAAAGGCAATCACCTGTTTTGCAAGGATTCTCCTTTCTGCAGTGTTTCTATTTAAACAGAGGTTCCCGTTGTCCAAAAACACCATATCGACATCTCAGTTTGTACCTCATCCCCCCAAACTTCAAGATATCTTTATTAGCCCCATGTTTAATGTGTATCAATTAGTACATAAATTGCATTAATGAAGTATTTTCTGTTTATAATTTTCATTTATCATTTAAAAAAATAAAAGGAATACTAGAACAAGTGTGTATGTGATCAGTACTGGAAGGCGAAAGCCAAGGGACTGAATATTAACAGCAGTCTGTATTTCTTAATAAACTCATTAGGACAGGCAAAACACTCCTACACTAAAAAACAATGTGTGGCATCTGTGGCACAGCCTATTTATAAACTGCAAACTTGTGTTTACAATAGTAGTTCATGACCGTTGTTAAAACATGATGCTTTGTTGTGTGTCTTCTCAGAATAAGCCAGAACCTGTATCTGAGTATAGCAGAAAGGGAAACAAGACCTTACTTTTTCAAAGCTCACTAAATGTGAGCGTACAGAAGACATTCTTCTCGTGAGGGATCCATCCTCTAATGTAGACTCATCCCAGACTTCCCTCCTTTCCAACATAAGACACAGATGCTGCTATTCCTCTGGCACATTGCTGACTTATTGCCACCATATTGTGCTATGTTAATAAATACAGAAATTAAGGTAAAGCAGTAGTATTGTTTTGGGGGTTGTGTCTGAGAATTAAGCCATCTGAAGTTTTTAACTATCACAATGACACTACACTGGGGTAGTGCCATATTTTTCCTTTGTTCTACTTCTGTGCACCATTCACAACCTTTTTTGCTACTAGAAGTCTAATTCCAACACAACAGATGGTTTCTGAATGGAAACTGGAAAGCAGCAGTCACATTTAAATGTAAGGTACACTGGCCCTCATCACAAGTTCATACATAACGGATCTCTCCCCTGTTCCCCACCCCCAGGCTGGATGAGGGCCATGAAGATGAGGGCTGGAACACCTCTCCTATGAAGACAGGCTGAAAGAGTTGAGGTTGCTCAGCCTGGAGAAGGCTCAAGGGAGACCTGATAGCAGCCTTTCAGTACCTAGAGGGGGCCTTCAAGAAAGCTGGAAACCTTTTACGAGGACATGTAGTGATAGAACAAGGGGTAATGGCTTTCAACTGCAAGAGAGTAGATTTAGATTAGATATTAGGAAGTTCTTCACCATGAGGGTAGTGAGGCACTGGAACAGGTTGCCCAGACAAGCTGTGGCTGTCCCATCCCTGGAAGTGTTTAAGGCCAGGCTGGATAGGGTCTTGGAGCAATCTGTTCTACTAGAACGTGTCCCTACTAGATGGCAGGACGGTTGGAACTAGTTGATCTTTAAGGTCTCTTCTGGCTCAAACCATTCTATGATTGCTAATGAAGATGTTGAAAAGTACTGGACTCTGTACTGACCTCTGGGGTGCACCACTGGTTAATAGCCTCCAACTAGACATTGTGCCATTTTGAAGGTGTGCTTCAAGGTGTGGCAGAATAGAATCTTATTCAACAGAGACATATATTTTGCTGTCCCGCTGAAAATTTACTCAAGCTACATGTGACAAAGCTAGTAGCTATGATCAAAAAAAAAACCCAACCCAACCAAAATGCATATGCAAAGAATTTTACTGTCTCTTTATCCCTTGAAGCATCCATATGCAATAGACTATTTTCCTGCTTGCCTCTGAATAGGACTTGTCTTGTAACAGCTCTAGGCCAGGCTTCTCACTGGGGCTACATAAGGCAAACAGTTATAGAAGAGGTACTAGATCTGGGACCAGGAAAAAGCAACAAAGGGGAAATGCGGGGGACAACCCCCAGAAAAACAACACACACACATACAAAACCCCAAAACACAAAAAAACACTACAACAACAACAAAGCACAAAATCCACAAGCTGGGAGGGAGAATAGGCCTTAGAAACCACAGTAAAGAAGTTTGAGTGGAAGGACGACTACAATGCAACAGACAAGGTACTAGGACTGACTGGTAAGGAGTTTTAGCTGGACAAAAAGCCCAACTGATAGGCAGAGCAGGGTAGAAACACAGATTGGAGAACATAGGCTGTTTGCCTAACAACATATCCACAACAGCTTCTTATAATTAATTCCAAGACAAAGGTGACATTAAAACTACATGGGAACATCACAATAATCACAGCAGATTAGTACAAAGCAGCTTGAATAAAACTTTTATATCATAATTTTCAGCATTGCAGAAAGTCCTGGTACTAACCACCTACACCAGGTATGGCCATCACAACTTCCTCAAAAACTGACTGTAAGAGACTAGACTTTTCAGATCATGCTTATACCCTGTGCAGATTAGAAATCAATTGCTGTATTTTGAAACTGTATTTAAAAAAAATCTCAAACAGATGCTTCATTCAAGAATGAGCACATCTGAATCAGACTGACCTAAGATACATGAAGCCAACTTCGCAACTGATTTATGCAGTAGTCTTAAGGGATTAGATTACAGTGTGTAGTAACCAGAATCTACAAACAGGGGGAATCATCATTCACAAAAAAAATACTTGCCTTTCAGTTCAACACAAAAAGAAGAATGAAGTACTAGATATTTGAGAAGAGAAGGCATAACACGATTCTTTTTCTCCAGATGCTGACATACATGCCTGAAGCATTATATCATTAAATCACCAGCATCTGGCATCCTGAATGTAGTTTCAGCTTCACATGCATCAGAACAGTAGAAGAACTGGTAACTTCAAAATCCAACATGTTACATTCCTATTTCCATGTCCTAAACTGGAATATATTTGAGCCCTGAGTAATTCCTCAAAATTATTTGCTTATGCTCTATATTTCACATCCATAAGCTTAATTTTCAGTGTACATTTGATGGCTGAATTCCAGACCTATGGGGAAATAGGCTTGCAGATTTGACATTAAAGATAAATTACTTTATTTTCAATACTTAATAACTTTCTTTACTGATACAGTTTCACTTCTTTTTGTTTTCAACAGAAGATCTGGATACTGTGTGATCAATAATACATATAATTACGTTTAGAAATTAAGAAAGCACCACAATAAACAGATCATTCTTTGTGCTGAGATCTGCCCTATGCTGCAACAGGAACTGTGTTGGTGCATGGCTGAAATGCAAAAGGAATCAAGTCCATGACTAGAATTTTTACAATTAGTTATAATACCAGAGGACAAAAATGGTATTATCATTCCCCCAAACTGTCTCCAGTCTCAGTGTAAGAGGCAGACAGACCAAAGAAGGGGAAAAATACAAGAAATAGAGACAGTAATAAACAGTTGACACACCAGACATATGAGCGTAGAGCTGCAACATGATCCTACAAGTTAACTTACCTAACACCTTACTACAACTGCAAGGAAAAGCCTCATTTTTAGTACTGCATCTCTCATACAAGGCTTATCTAACGTTAAAGCAAGCAGTAAAGTGGACTTCCGTGTCATCATTTTAACTAAGATATTTCTCTATGCAGGTCAGAGGAGAACCAGTAAATATCTGCACCAGGACTGTGTACTCAGTAGCCAGAAGTAGATGACACAGCTGTACTGAGACAGTCCTAAGCTGAAGTAACAAGAAACATTATCCTCAGAACACCAGCAAGCTCACCAAAAGCATCTGACTCAAGGGGCTACAAAGTCTAAGAAGCCAAACCAAAGATTTATAAATCCCAAATTCAGGAGTCTATTAGAATCACTGGTATGAGGTAGCCCATGGTCATACAATGCAATGGACTTAACATTTCATGCATTCTTTTTTTTAATTGAAGTTCCATATGGTAGCCAACAATCATCCTGTATATAAATAACCAGAAGGGAGAACATCAAAACACATGGAGATGAAAGAGAAAATGATGGTTTCTGTTTGTGCCACAGCTGCTGTTAATCTATTTGCAATCAAGCAAGGCCTGCTGGTTTGGTGTTTCTTTGCTTTGTTGGGGATGTGAGGGCAAAAAGCTGATGAGGGGGTGGGGGAGAAGAGGTATGAATTTAAATTTTAAGCAAAACAATCACAAGAGCAGAGAATTCCTTGGGTTTGACTTTTCATACTCCTCTAGAACACAGCATGAAAACTTGCTCTCAAGGTGCATGCTGAGCATTTTGAGAAGAATAGTAAGATATTTAAGAAAGAGCAGTAAACTAGTTCTAAACTTTAATTGGAAAATACAGACTACTTATGAACAGCTAATATTATCCTTATTATTTTGAGGTCACCAAGGTATATACTGTCATTTTAGGCTTGCCTGAGCTTTCTCCTCTAGAATCTATTTTAAAAAAATAACCCAAGGAGTCGTTTGCTGTAGGTAGTAGCATCAGACATATCTGACACCTCAGCTACCAAATATTCAGTTTCTTAACAATGTGAAGCTGTATGTTCATCCTAGCTTTTTTTTCCAGCAAGATTTATAGCTTGCTCCATCCCTCCTACTCTAGTTTCAAAATGAAATATGTATGGAAAATTTAATTCTTAAACTGAACAGTAATTTGTGCTCTTAGTACATTACTGATCTCCTTCCTGTAAAGAAAATGAACTTAACAGCATTTGTAGATACCTGGCTCATTAGACCACTACCTTACTAGCATATTCTGCCCACATGGTATCAAGACAACATTCAAAACATTAAAAAATAAATCCCATTACTTACTACAGTTTATATTCAATACAGCAAGTGAATTTATTTTAAGGAACCTACTGCCTTTTAACAGTACTGAATACTCCCACATATTTTCCACAGTTGTCATCTTTTATTTTTTTTTTTTAAACTAATGAATGGGAATAGGAATTAAAGAACTTCTAGCTCAGCACACTTCCTTTTCAGCTAAGGCATTTTACCTACTGATGTAGCTGCTGAGTATTTGCCAAGATTTGAACACTTTGATAAATCTGCAGAAACAAACAATAAAATTAACCCTTTAAAAGCACCTTGGACAATCAGGAAAATCATGTAAGCAAATGCACAGGTTCCTGGAAAAGGCAAGGGTGGGAGGAGCATAGCACACACCAAAAGCATTCTTTCTACATAGAAATAGTCACATACAGGTGGAAAGAAGAAGTATCACCTTGGTCAGCAAATGAGAAGGCTTTCCTGCAATGTTTCTCAGAAGGAGGGAGGTTTCCCTGTCCAAATAGGAGTGCTTGTGCAGAAAGAAAAAGAACATAAGTCAGAAGAAGTCAGTATAGTAATTTCATAGTGTCTTGATTACAGAAGATCAAGTAGAGTTTAAAGAAAAAACCCTATGTCATCACTTTATTTCCCTCCCATAAAAATGTGAACATTCCCAAATATTACAAGCCTAACAGACTAATATAAATGCAGTTGTGCTAATAGAGGACACTATTTTAATCTTCCCCTGTACAAAAGGTCACACAATAGAATTAAGAAAACTTTTGCTTACCTGCTACTGGTTTCTTTTCTGCAAGAGACAACTTATTTTTAAAGACATTTAGAACTCTAAAAGTAAGAAAACATGCACTTCCAATGCTTTTCAAAATCCTGTCCAGTCTTCTAAACCAGAACATTCTACTTGTGTTACACAAACATAAAGCCACTAAAAACTGGTCATCCTGGAGAGAAAGAACTGGTTTCACACTTTCTACAGTGGTTGCTGCTTCCATAGTTGAAGAAAAAAACCCAGACATTACCATAATAATAATCCAAATCTGATTTAGAATACTTTTTTTTTTTAAAGGACTTAAGTCTCTCTTCTTTTATACAGTCCAAATTATGTAATCCAAGAAGTTAGGAACAAATCCCCGTATTTCTCTTGGAAGAGAAATCAGCAGAAAATATATTTTAATCTGTTTAAAAAGGGGAAGCAACAGCAGTAGCAACCAGTAGAGAAGGACTTCTCAAAAGGCAAAAATCGGTTAATAATAGTTAACCAAGTGATCATCTTCTCCAGCATCTGCTACAGGGGAACAACAAAACCATCATTCCATATTTGCAGAACCACATAGTCACAAGCCCGCTAAGGAAATTAGGCTAATAACGTGGCACTTAACAGGAGCATTAAGTGTATCTCCTGTGTAACATCCCTGTACTGCAAATTTTGTCCCCTGTGGCTGCATCGGTGTCAGCCTTATTTCTGTCAATTGGCACAATGCTATATAGAACAAGCACGAGAACTGAGCAGCCTACAATTTGCAGTTTCTTCTACAGAGCCACAACAAGGCATAGTCTCCTGAAAAAAATGAAGGGACCATGTCTACAACTTCATGCAAGGCAGCATCAGTTTGGTGGATACTGCTACTACAGGGGGAGGTCACTTGATGTGATTGGGATGAGTAACTAAGGATCTCTAGAAGGCTTTGAAAGTTACACCTCAGAAAAGACTGGACAGCATCTGAAGTAAAACCTAGGCTCTACTCAAGCTTCACCTGGTACTTAGCCATTAACATAGACACAGGTTATGCTACAGACTGAATAAAGGTTTTGCTGCCTGCAGATTAATTACTGTGTGTGTCTACATCATATGTTTTAGAAGCACAACAGTGCTGCCTAGTAGCACATTTTTCACACCTCAAGCACACAGTGATGAGAGCTTTGTGATGCAGTACCTCATACAATTAAAAGATCTTGTTTACAGTCGTACAGAATTCTCAGATTAAACTTCCTGACATATATAACCATATCATTTGGGACTGATGAACTAACACATTCTGCTTTTTCTACATATATAGGACTTCCATATATACAACTTCAGTGACACTTAAGAGAGGCTATTGTGTAAAGAACAGTTCATTTATTCAGCCTGAGCAAGCCTGAAGCGATGCTAACATTGCTGGTGACTAATACAGTTTGCTTAAGTTGAAGGCAGACTGATCCTCTTCTTATTGATTTGTTAAGTGCATTTTTACTCTGAATGGTTTCCTTTCCTAAACAGAAGCTCTAACTTCCCACAAAGTCAGTCTAGAATGATCTCATTACAACACATTATTATAGAACTTCTGGAATAAATTGGCTAGCTCTGTCCAAAGCTCAAAAAAAAATGCATAAAAATCCAAAGACAAGTTCAAGTTTTGTTAAAGAGCTTCTTGACAGAGCACTTGTCAGACATCATGGACTCCAACTAATATGGATCACTTTTTTTTTTTTTTGGTGAATGGAGCACTGCAGTAGAAACAACATTACAATGTACATTTGTACCCTCTTCCTTAGGGTTTAGCCACTTTCTCCCCATCAAACAACAATAATGTCAGGATAAAGAGGGGATACTGATTCTCTCCTTAAAAGAAATACTAATTGCTGGAGAATATTTCTTCCACGGAGAAGCTCAAGGCACATAGCTTAACCTTCTTCCTATCATTAGTCATTTCGGCTGTTGCCATCTTGCATCTCCACTAAGGAACTTTTATTCTATCCAGAAATGGGAATGCGATATAGTTCTTGCAAAATAATAACCACTGTGGACTTTGCCAATACTGCTTTCCAGACCTGTAGCTAAATATAAAAGCAGATAACCACGGGAAAACTATTTTGGAAATCGAGAATTTCATAGGTATTTCATAGGAACAGGTGTTGGCTAGTAAAATGTGAGATAATAGTGTGATAAGACCTGTCTATGTGAATTTGAGCTGGAAAGAAGTCTAGAAACAAGAAGGCAACACTTCTTTGCCTGACACCTTTAATGCATGGCTCCCTTCTACTGCATAACACATTCTGCACTACTGTAGATACCCAAAAATGTTAGAATGAGCAGTAGTAGCAAAGCAACAGGAAAGCCCAAGTTCTAGGACTTACAGCTTGGCTAAACAACAATTATGTGCACATAACTTTTTTTTTAAATATGAGAGCTGCACAAACCATTAAAGAAGGAAAAAAAAAAAAAGGTTTCATTTCAGAACAAAAGTGTATTGCTCTTTCACAATCCACAGTTTGAAAGCATTTAACCTATTTCAAAAGAAAGACGCCTGCTCAAACATCACGCTTTGAGATGAACAGATGTGGTCTTTAATACAGTCTCCTAGGAATACTCCATTGTTCAGAAGAAGATAAATATTTTGTTATTTTTTCTTTAGACTCTACAATCACATTGGACCACAGAGGGGATCTAAATAGCTCACTCTTCCTCCCTACTTCTAGACTTCAAATATGTACCAAAGCTCTGACAGTATAAACGCCTTATCCTTTTAATAAATTAACCTACTTTGCTTCCCTAAGTTCTTTCCCAGACTAAAAATAATACCAATAAAATTAGGAAACCAAAACATTATTAGTCCTAGATAGACATTTCTAGTCTTGCACTGTGAAAAGCACCTGCTCTCCTTACACCTGCTCCCATCACAAGAACTCATGCCTTGGCAACAAAGAGCTCTCTTCCCCAGTGCACAGTCTTAGGTTCAGTTAGGATATAAAACCAATTCCAATTACACAAAGTAGCATGTCCCGTCTCCTACAAGTCCCCAACTCCATGCGTTTTAATCTGCTGTCACAGTAAGCTTACTGCTTCCACAGTACAAGGCCATCATTCCTCATAATGGGCATTTTCAGTTAATTTTTTTTTAAAATTGTCTTGCAACTGGAGTATTGAAATATCCTTGAAAGGTAAAAGTAGCTTGAAACATCACGAAAGTATCAAAATATGACAAAAGCTTCCGAGAAGGTGAACACATGCAGTTCTTCACACTAAGCAAGAAGTTACATAAGAGCTAGGTTGTAACAGTGTTGGAAGACTAATTGCTTCATTCACTGAAGTACTCAATGTAAGCTTATTCAACATGAATATACACAGAGACAATGACTTGATGCCTAATTCCTTTATCAACTTCTTTAAAAGATCACATATTTCTAGGCTAGCACTTACCTAAGGGTGCAGACACATGCAGTATATATAACGTGCATTGTCCAAAGCTAGCTACAATTCTTTACTTCTACAAGAAGGATTTTAAAGTTGTATTTTTGATCTATAGGATAGCTTTTTTTCTCCTTGTCACAACATCAAATCATGTAATTTGCACTTCCTCAGAAACTGTGAAGAATCTTTCAGTATAAACTGTGCTGCAAAACTACAACAGTAACCCTGGACAGGCCCTAACACTAGCTGTGCTGGAGACTGGACCTCACTATCTTTGCTTCTTAATAGTCTTCAGAAGATACACTTCCTTCCCTAAAAAAAGCAACTATGAAGCCTACTATCAGCTATCGAACATGCTTGCGACTTCTTTTTGTGTCAAAATTGCTTCTTTTAAGGACAATTTTTATACAATACATAAAAAGCTATTTAATTATGTTTTAGTGCTTCCTTTGAACTGACTTTGAACAGAACAGACTTTGAACTAAGTTTCAGATACTCAATTTAGTTCAAAAGACCTGGATAGAGAGAAAAAATACAGAAAACTATCAAAACATAGGAAAATCGTGTTTTTAACTCATTTGTACAAGAAGTATAAGCAGACGTTCCAATGATGACTGGTTTGGACTGTTTTCTACCTTAACTCCCAGCAACAATTATTCCAAGTCACACTGAAAACTATGGATGTTAAAAATCATAGTAACTAAAAATTCCTCAAAATACTGGTAATGATATCTGATCAGAACATTTAAGTTCTAAAAAATAAAACGTATACCTTTCCCAAAGGATGACAAAAGAGCTGTGCACAAAGGTAGAAAGTGCACAAACATTTTTACATTAAAAAATGGGGTATGATCATAAAAATATCAGAACAAAAAAGCATATAAAGAAGCCTATTAATGTCTCGATAATAAACTTCAGCTGTCATGGATAAAGACAATGCAGAAAACATTTGATTTGAGACAAATTAGCATTCAAAAGTTCTAGATGATGTTAGGTCAAAAAATGTTAAATAGTTTCATGTAGTTCATTCAGCAAAGACAGCTAGGCTTGACTCTTATGAAATCATGGAATATAATCATGTTCCAAATTATATTTTGTACTTCAAAGATTTCCTATATCCTTTCTTTGAAGACAGGAATGTAACATCCATTATCTTCAGGCCTAAATACCAGAAGTTCATGGACCAGCTGTTGAATATTCCATTTCACAGCATTTTCAGAGAACTCAAACAATACTCCTCTTACATACAAAGCAGCTGCTTATGTCAGAAAGTTTCTTCAACGCTGAAACATTTTTATACCCATCATCAACCCTACATCTACAGAACATGTTTGCTAAACATGACAGAACAGATGGACTACCAGGAAAATGAAAATACCTATCAGATTTTCAGAATATAATTGGCTGCACTATACTAAACAAGTAATCCTCTACATGGTCAAAAGCTCAAGACTTTCTTCCCTATTACCCTTGTCAGTTCCTTTATGAGAAGTTCAGTAGATTGTTTTAATTCTTGAAGTTCTGAGGTCTTAGGATGAAAGCCAGTTTTAAAAAAACCCAAAGGAACCCGAAATGATTTCTAAGTTAACACTGAACTACTAGGCACATTAACATTAATTTTTGCAGACAGTAACTGATGAGTGGATTTTAAGAAGATCCTTTCAGAAAAGGTGATAAACTAGGTTCTAGTTCCAGATTCAGAAGGATGAAGGCTGTGTAGCCCATCTTGCAACTGTAGCAGGCCATCAGTTCACGGGTAACATGCTATATATACATCACCTCATTGCCTCATTTTTTTCAATTCTACTTGAACATTTTTGCAAAACCTTGACAATCACGTATGTTCATACTGAACACTGATCCATTTTCCTGTTACACGCCTGATTGTCAATCAGTACAGAAGTGAGACAAGTCTACAAAGATTCAATGTCATTGCTAAGAGACTAATTTTAAGGTAAAGGCTCAGAATACACTCAGGGTTCAAAACAACATAAAAGTGCCAAATATATTCTTTACACAGTCCATTTACAAATAATAAACAAAATCTGGGTGGGAAGTGTAAGAAAAAGATGACCTGGCCATGTTCTAAGGTATTACATCTTATTGTTCTATGTTAAATATGTTACATAGAAAAATTCCTTTGTAGATAAATATTATCTGTAGGTTCAAAGACATCATTTACCCAAGGTATGTACAACAGAACATTTTACCTCAGCTCATAAAAAAACCTCCTCCAAAACCAATGACAAGACACTGTGAACTTGCGTACATAAATACCTTGCCACATTTCTTGCAAAACGCTACAATTAAATGTTAATACACATATCTAATTAAACCAGCTGGTGGCACTCTTGTGCCATTAGTCTACATTTAACATGACAGTTGAGAAACACATCTTTTTTAAAAGCTCCCTTCTATCCCTAAAAAACAAACTAAAATGAGGGAAACTATGGATGCAGTGTCCACTAGAGAACTATATGCTTGCAAAACTTTCCTGAAAAAGATAACTACTATAGGTTTCATTTCAACTCTATCAGCAGATTGAATTCTTTAGACTCCAGCTTGAAGAATTAGAAATATTTTCAACAGAGAACTAAAGAATTAAAAAATAGAAACTTTTTTTTTTTTTAATTTTGTCCCAGAGGGAAATAAAAATGGGAAAGGAGAACTGAGATTCTAAGTATATTCATATGGCACATATAAAAGCACACATTATGAAATTATATCTAATTAAAAATATGCATTTTCTGCTTTCTTTTGCAATGATGGTTGTTTAGTCTGGAGAAAAGGAGGCTCAGGGGTGACCTCATCAGCCTCTACAGCTACCCAAAAGGAGGTTGTAGTGAGGTGGGGGTCCATTTCCTCTCCCAAATAAAAAGTGATAGGATGAGAGGAAATGGCCTCAAGTTACACCAGAGGGGGTTTAGAATGGACATTAGGGAAAATTTCTTCACTGAAATGGCTTTCAGGCACTCGAACAGTCTGCCTAGAGAAGTCACCTGAAGGTATTTAAATGACATGTGGATATAGCACTTGGGGACCTGGTTTAGTGGTGGATAGTGCTAGGTTAACAGCTGGACTCAATCTTGAAGGTCTTTTCCAACCCAAACAATTCTATGATTCTGTTCTATGATACTACGACCACCAAAAGCAATCGTGCTTCAGAAAAAAAGTTAAGTGTATTTTAAGTAGTCTTGCCTGACTGACAGTCAATGATCGACTTAAGGCTAAAAAGCTTGACTTTAATGATAGACATGGTTACTTTACTCACTGTTGGGATACTAACAAATTAAACTAATGTGATTTTCTGTTGCAGACAAGTTGACACAACTATTGACATAAACAGAAGCCATATAAACATGTCATAACAACTTACAGGAGTCAATTCAGCTTCCTCTTCTGGAATGTTTATGGGATGCTTGGATGATTGATGGAATGTCCCACAGAAACAGTAAAAATGTAGGAAAATTGGGAGGGAGGGATGCAAAAGGGGAAGAGAGGAAAGGGAGAAAGGAGAAAAAAAGGCTTTATTATCACTCAGAAGAGGGGAAAAAAGAAGCAGTGATGAAGATGAAGCAAAGGCAACAAAACTAGATTAAGAAGTTAGTGACCCCCATCTAAATTTCTTACAAACAAACGATCAATGACTTGAAGACAAGAAGATATTCAGGCTCTCTCCTATGGGAAGGGAAGAGATAGGATACAAGGAGGTTTTCAACCACAGTAAGAGGGGAAACAGTCAAGGACCTCACACAAAAGCACTTGAAACAAATCAGAAAATAAGCCCAGGTTACTTTTTTCTTTGCACAATCACTTGCTCACTAAGCCAGCAACTGAGAGTTAAGTTCTCTAACTGCTACAAGCAGAAAAAACATACTGTCACTTTGCACAAGCTTATCTGCTTCCCATGTCAGTTCTTCCACACATAATATACTCTGGTGACAATTACAAAGTACATACAAGAAGAATGTCTGTTTAGTAGAGATTTATCTTATTTCCATTTGGTCATACTGTTTTAGATCTCTGAGTGCCTTCATACTCCATTTAAAAAGAAATGAAGAGGAAGTATTTCTGTATTTCCATAATTTTCAGTAAGGGAAGAGGGGCACACAACAACAAAACCCACAAAACAAAAAGAAAAACCCCACCACATTTGTGGCTCCAGACAAAACGTCCATGGGAGTGACAACTTTCCTAGTATGAAGTTAAGGGATCAAAAATTGAATATTATGCTACTAAAAAGCAGAGTGCCTACGATTTCTAGTGTGTCATCCAATGCTTGCTCCTTTTCCTTCAAAGGTACAGAACTATTTGTTTCAGGCATGTTAGTTTTGGTAACTGAGTTACATAGTTAAGGTTTGACAGATGGAAAAGGGGTTACAGTTTATTCTTAGCAAAACCTCAGAAAAGGAAAATAGACACTTAGAAACTGAAGAAGCAGCAGCATTAGATAATGGAGATGCCTGATACTTCCACATGCAAGATGTGTTTTCAGCTGCTTAGTGGTTACAGCTTAGCAAAATTTTTGTGAGACGAAAATTGTCCATGATAGGTTACTGTTACAGGATTATTATTAGTCAATTACACTAAACAAAGTATTTCCAAGAGAGGAAAGGAAGGTGTATTTCCTTTAAAATATACATGTTTTTTTAAAATATATATGTTTTTAAAAACCTCTGCGTGTCCAACCATTTAACAGATTACTGGCAGGGGCATCTTCAAAGACTTGCTTTGCGCTGTCTCATGGGGAGTTAGCCAAATTTGCCTGAGCATAAGCCTTTAGAACTAAAATTGTAGTCCATAAAGTCTCAGGGAAGTCTGGGGCATCACAATTAAAAAAACTCAGGGCTGCATTGTCTCACAAAGCTCTTCAACTGGACTGTACACCACTAACCTTGAGCAAATAGACTGGACAAGTTTGAGAATGCTTGGGTCCATGGTGGGACAGTACAGCAGCCTTCTTGAAACTGCAGTGCCTGGCTGCTGCAGAGCATATTGGAGCCAGACACGGGAAGTGAGAATCTGAAGCTATTACTCAGTGTTCCCAAGTGGCCAATCCTCCTCCTGGAACTCATGCAACTCTGCAGGCAATTGGAATTTCCTAACACTAAGTGTTCAACCTTGCAACTTAAAAACACACCCCCCTCCCCAAAAAAACAAAAAAAACCCAAAAAAACCAAACCAAACAAAAAAAAACCCCAAACAAACCACCTAATAAAAGCCCAACCAAAACCCAAACACCAAACTACCCAACAAAAATCCCCAATCAATCATGACTAAAACAAATAAAAGTATTTTACAGCAAGGATTTCTTAACTTCTAGGGCACTTATAACTTCATGCCAGTTCTGACAGCTACAGTATAAACCTATTGAAATTTACTGCAATTTAAGAAATATGTCTGTGGACACTTCAAATTAAGAAACTGCTGCACTGTGTGCATGACGTACATTATTCACTAGTCCACTGTTCAAGTCTGTGCACTTGCCAGGTCAGGTTGTGATAATGATTCGCTGTTGAACACAAGTCTTGGGATGCAGCAGGACAGAAAGGATTGCAAAAGCTAGTGACCACTTCAGTTCAAGCTTAGTTTCAGTACCGGTTTTAAGAGATTTAAGACTAAGCTGTCACAAGAAAGAAGCAGTCCTGACTTTTCCCTAACCTTGTGCTCTCACATCTCTTTTGTGTGGACAGCAGTGACCATGCAGTCCAGTGGATCAATGAACAACTAATTCAGAAGGATTATTTTTGAGGGAGACCACAAGCTGATCCAAATTACTAAGCAGCTACGCGAACACTAGTGCCAATACAAGATGGGGCAAGACTGCCCAATTTAGCACTAGCATGGACCTAAATTAGTATAAACAGGGAGGAGGTTTCAAGCAGCGGAATTTTCTCAAAACAAGAAGAAAAAAAAACCAAAATCCAAACCAAAAAACCATGAAAAATGAAATAAAATGGAGTATAATTTCACATAAAATGGTTGTCTGATCTGTACAAAAAGAGATGCATGAAGTAGAAGACTGAAAGGAAGGAAGGAAAAAAAAACCACCAAACTTTATTAGACTAATTCATGTGTAACTGCATTAGTTCAAGAAAGAATATCAGATACTTCATTCTGTGAAGGGCTCTACCTGCAGCACAGAAAACAAGACATCAAAGCAGCTAAGATACCTAAGGAATAAAGGTACAAATAGCTTTAACTGGTTTTGTTTGAACCTGCTGCCTTTTATACCAAGTAGCACCTGTATTAAGTAACATTTGCTTATATGTCTGCTGACTTCTAAACTACTAATCAGTTGTAAAAAATTACTGTAGACATCAAATCATCCAAAGATAAATCACCAGAAGAGAAGGGATATACACAGCTGGGGAGTTAAAAGTCACAAACCTATCCTTTTGGTTAAAAGCAGGTAAGGCATACGAAAAAACTCAAACCTGCATTCATAAAGCAAATCTCTGATGTAACCGGTCCAAAATCTTGAACTTTCACAAACATGAGACTACTAAATGTCCAACATAGGCAACTGTAACCAAGGCTGTAAATTTGGTTAACTAAAAATGAAGACTTTTCTTTGTATTCGCAGACAACTTTTATTGTACTATATCGACTAAACGCTAACCAGCATGCATAAAAGTGATACAGCTAAAAGGACAGTTCTCAGCTGTTTCTTCAGAACATGAAGTCTCATTTCTTGGGTCTAAAATCCTTTAGAAACCTGATAAATTGAAGTTTTCATGCCATAAGTTAGAAGCGTATGCAACTGATGAAAGTTGAATAAATTCTTTTTTCCTCTTAAGAGTTTAATGTTCCATAATCGGCTGCTGTGTTCTTGATTTTTGTCATCTGTTCCAAATTAGATTTTTGGCAACCTGAAGTAATGACAAACAAGTAAACTGTTGCTAATTTCCCACAGATGCAGTATTTCTCCTCCCCAGTCTAATTAGATGATACAGAAAAAGTAAAGGAATTTATTTGTTTTGGTTTTAAGTGGACTGGTCTATCTACAAAGAAATAGGCCGTTTTAAAAGCTCCATTAATCAATCGCAACTTGTAAAGTGATATCTTCACTGGAAACTGAAATCAAAGCATTCAACTCCCTGCAGTGCTTCTGACGAAACTTAGTAACATCATAAGGCAAGAATCCTCATTTCTCACCTCAGGCCTAATGGCTTGGTTCAAGACTACTTCTTCTGAGACATATGTTGCATAGATTTGCTTGGTCATTGATCTGTGGTATTTTGTCTGTTTCAGATGAACCTAGTAAGAGTTCCAACCTCTGAGCAACCATTTTCTTAGCTTGTCTGTATCAATGATAAATTTTTTCTCAATAAATCCTACCAAATACAAGCAAGATTTATTTTAAAGTGTGGTTATTCATACTCAGCACCCAATTCAAGCTGTCTTCTACAACTGTCAAAGTCTGTGATAGCGACTTCTCTAATCAATGCATGTAAAGTGGCAGGAGGGGAAGCTAAAACAATAAAAAAGGTCACTGGACTGCAGACAGCTTCCATCAGCAACAGCAGCTGTTCTACTGTTAGCATTACTAATCATAACAGCACATGTACACACACATACAGAGAAGTCTGACAATTTTAAGAGGGTACCAGCTCAGCTGACTACCACCAACTTACATTCTTTTCTTGTAGTAGACAAGAGTCTACTGCGACTGGAAGGTGAAGGCTGATGAAGCTTGAACTGTGCACGTTCATGTTAAAAAGTCAGAACAGCTGAAGAATAGAAACACTAAGCGTTTGTATCTCTAGAGGAACATAATGCAATAAAGGCTGAGCATGCTGCAGGCAAACTTTAACTGATACAGTATGGCTTTGCTGGGGACAACCAATTCCCTACTGCCACATGCAAGGGGCTATCAGGAAAGTTTCTGAAGCAGCAGTTTTAACTGCAGATAAATACATTTCGGATAACAATGTTTGACTCATTCAATTGCTCATCCACTGGAGAAGACTCAACATTACAGAACAGCCAGGAAGAACCGCATTTAGGCGTAGACAATGCCTTTAAGTTTCCTATCTAAGGTAACAAAATATAATGTAACTGTAACTTTTGAGTTGATACCAGCTTTGCCAGCCAGCTGTGTCAAACAAGACATGTATCACACTGTCCATTTTCCTGTTCCTTCCACAGAGGAAACTTTTGAGCTTATTCATCAGTATGAGGCAAAGCTGACAGGCAAACTCAGAAGATAAATACATTCTTACATGTTTTATGGTTCCTGCTATACTTTAATTAGTGACCTCCTACATGGGAAAACATTATAGGGTAAATGCTAAATTCATGCTTATGAAATAAGTTGGATATGCTATGATGTAAGTTGGATTGGCGAAACAAGATTTACCAATACAAGGATAACGTTTAGGTTCTCATTTTCCTTTCACTTATTTTCAATCTATACAAACTAATTTTAAAAGCCTACCATCCCATGTATATGCAGTAATTTAAACTTTTAGAATATCTCTCGGAGTCTAATTCAAAATTCTTACCAAAAGAAAACAACAAAAACAAAGAAACAAAAACCCTCCTTTCCTATCATTTGCTTTGCAGATTCCTTAAGTATAATGCTGGGGAAAGACAAACAAATTTAGGTGCCAGTTTTGCCGGCATTGGAAAAAGTGTATTGGTAATCTTTGGGTTCTAGTGCATCATATGATGAAAACTGTTTACTGCCATGCATAAACTTCATGATGAATGCCAAGCACATTTGATTACCAAAATATATAAGTATTGTTTATATTTTATAAACTGGTATGTTTATCTCAGAGAATGTTTTGAAAGCCTCCAAAAATCTGGCAAGTGAAGAGTCATTTTACATTTATTTCAAGAACATTTGAAAACTGGATGGCTCGCACTTCTTATGCCAAGAAAACTGAAAGCCAAAGTAATGCTTCAAGATATGCACAATTTTCCTTTACTGTTGACTTATTAAAAAATATTTTGTGACTAATAATCGGAAAAAAAGAAAAAGAGGAAAAGGTGGTCTAATTGTGTTTCAAATTAAGTCTTTCCATTGACTATTTTCAGCTTAGGAAAAGGATAACTGGAAACACTCCAGAATACGCTTTGTGTACAAAACTATGGATATAATAGAACTGGCAGAAAATGCAATTAATTTTTTTAAGAGTCTTTAGAAGACATAGAAAACTAACGTCTGTCATGCCTTGTTTGTTGCATATCTGTGACTACTCTCACAAATCTGAAACTAACATCCTTCGCATCTACCAACCACACAAAACATGGAACATAAGGGAAACTACTCAAATCTTAAGCTCCCAAAATACAAGAGCCAATAATGCTCTATTCCTCCAAGAGCTAAAATAGCCCACAACTGTCCTTTAAATCACCTACAAATAATATGCGAGGTTCAGCAATCCAATTCTATTTTAAGACACTGTTGCCTACCAAAGACCATATATATATATATTACAGGTTGATTTCTCTGCATACAGAAAGTTAACTGCATTTTCATACAGTGTAACATTTAGTAATCACACATGAAACATGACCTACAATAATCTTTAATGGGTAGAAAAGCTTCTGTGTTACACCACTGCGTAGCAAGTATTACTTTAGTGACAACATGTCCATACAAGAACCAAGGCAAAATTGCTATGAAACACAAACATAGCCTTTCCTTATTCCCATTTCAAGTTTTCCACTTTATCCTACTGGAGATATTAGCCAATACATATTTCTCTATGTGTGTTGAGCTTACATTACAACTATTATTGTGTCATGCCTCCAAAGCTCCTTTGTTTTCCCTTAAAGAAATGTTAACATTTACTCTACACTACCTCCTCCTCTGCCAAGTGAAGTGAAGAACCTGTAGTTTTAATGCACTGGCAGTCCCGTCATGATTTTCACCTCTTATATATCCAGACTAAAACTACAATGAATTTAAGTAAAAGCTGTCCATAAATGGATCCTTTCACTGGTCAGACGTAACTAGCAACATGAGCATGATCACCACAGTTCTCTATTCTCTCTCCACTACTTTCTTCTGCTGTTGCTCTAGAAAAGCTTACTGAAAATAGAGACAATTTCTTGGTGGCAGAGGGACTGAAGGAGGAAGGAAAAAAAAATAAGACGGGTGGGTGGAGGGGACAAATTAGTCATACAGCTGTCACTTCCCTTACCTTTAACTCATGCTATTACATCACTCATTCAATCTAGATTCAAGTAAAGCATTCCACAGGCAGAAACCAAGATTTAGCTGTATGCCACTCATTACACAACTAAAAGCACACCAGACAAAATATAACCTACAAATTTAAGGAAGAATACTGTTCAAGCAAGGATTTGGGAAATATTTCTGTGAGAGACAAAATTTCAATTTAGCAAAAATAACAGGGGCCTGGGGTTGGGTAGAAACAGCTTCTCTTATTCAGCAGTGCTTAGAGGAGACTGAAGAACATAAATGCAAACAGACAATTCTTAGTACTGCCAAGACAAGATCTTGAGACTACAAAGCAATAGTTTTCGAATACATAAATGTTCAGTGTCCAAAGAAATAACATTGATTGCTATGAAAGGCAGAAAAATAAACAACTCATTATGGCTACTAATAAAACCAGGATTTTAGACAACCCAGGGAAATCCAGCCAACTCTCCTGAACATGGCATAGAGACAAACACAGAATAAGAACAAGGATGTCCTAGCACATAGGACTATAAGTAACTGAGTGTTACCACCTGTCATGATGCTGATATTATCTTCAGCCCCAGAAGTTCCTGCAGCACAGACTGCTAGGAGAAAGGCAGCAACTAAGGTGCCTGTGCAACTGCTCAGGCAAAAAGATTTGAATAATCCATTACTACCAATGAGTGCATTCCTATTGGCCCTTCCAGCCTCCAGTTCTTGGCTACAATCCCCCTACTGCACATCAGCACGCATTAGGCTCCTCTGAGCCTTTGCAATTCACACAAATAACACAGAATGAACTCCAAAATAAAAGTGGTAAGTTTTGGTGTTTTAAATTACTCTAAGTACCAAAGCTGGGGCAGGGTAGGAGATGAGACAATGTAAATAAGAACTTTGGGGAAGGAAGGATGAGAAGAAAGGGAAGTCATACCTTCCCATTTTGGCTGATGGTAGAACTGCAGCCTCTTTTCATGAAATCTGTCAACTATTATCACTTAGAAGGTATACTAAACTATACATAACTTCATTGCAAGGCAGTTCTTTTACAGGAT